TACTAAATCATTCACTTGTACTCACTAAAGGAGAGCTTGAACCTATGTACTTGTGTAAACCCTTCACAATTAATGAGAACTCCTCTATTCCGTGGACGTAGCCAATCTGGGTGAACCACGTACATCTTGTGTTTGCTTTCCTATCTCTATCCATTTTATATACTTATCCACACTAATGACCGGAGCAATCTAGCGAAGATCACAAAAAGTGACCGTTTTCGCTACCTAGGATCTATCTTGCAAGAGAACGGAGAATTAGATGGAGATCTCAACCATAGAATACAAGCTGGATGGATGAAGTGTAAGAGTGCATCCGGCGTGTTGTGTGACCGTCGTAGGCCACTGAAGCTCAAGGGAAAATTTTTATAGGACGGCAATAAGGCCAGCGATGTTGTATGGCACAGAATGTTGGGCGGTGAAGCATCAACACGTACACAAAATGGGTGTAGCGGAGATGAGGATGCTTCGTGGGATGTGTGGGCACACGAGAAAGGATAAGATTGGGAATGAGGATATCCGAGGTAAAGTAGGAGTAGCCGAAATTGAAGGAAATATGAGAGAAAATCGGTTCCGGTGGTTTGGACATGTGCAAAGAAGGCCTACTGACGCTCCGGTTCGAAAATGTGACTACGGGACAGAGGTTCAGGGCCGAAGGGGTAGAGGAAGACCTAGGAAAACTTTGGAAGAGACCCTAAGAAAAGACTTTGAGTACTTGGATCTAACGGAGGACATGACACAAAACCGAGCGCAATGGCGTTCTAGGATTCATATAGCCGACCCCACTTAGTGGGAAAAGGCTTTGTTGTTGTTGTTGTTTGTTGTATGACTAAATTATTTACTATTTATATTTTGTTTGTATTATTTTTACTTTGATTATAATATTTCTTTCCCCCATTATGTAGCTAATTCAAGCACAAGCTTGGTATGGTGCCAAACAAAAGCAAAAATAAATCATTCAACCGGTGGGAATGTTGGAATATTGTCAAAGATTGTCCTAAATTCAGAGTTGTGCATGTCGGTCCAGAAGTTGTCATGAACAGCACCCTGCTATACTCTACACCTGATAATGGCTCGCATGAAGATGATGTAGAAGAAGTGCCCAAAACGCCCATCCCTAAACAAGCATCGGGTTCGACCTGTTATCCAATTAGGCCTCAAGGTAAGAAGTCTTCAAAGAGAAAAGGAAGTGCTTCCAAGCATGATTATGCAAAGTACATGGAAGAACTTACTCGCCATAGTGAATTGACTTTGGTGGCGGAAATGGCGAAATTTGAGGCTGATAAGGCTAGAGATGAGGCAAAAGTTGCAGCTGTTGTGAGAGAATTTCAAGCTAATCAGAGAGAAAGAGAGCTACTTAGGCAAGAAAGGGAACTGGTTAGAGAAGAAAGAATGGCTCAACGAGATCGTGAGATTATGAACACGCCTTTAGAAGGGAAGTCTCCAAATTCTAAATATTTTTGGAAGTCGGAGAAAGAGGATGTGGTGCATAGGAGGCGTGCAAGAGAAGCGAGAGCAAGAGGAGATGGTCCTAGCAGCACAAATTGGTTAAGTGATGATGAATAGAGTACTTTTTGTAATCGGAGCCCATAGTTTTCCAATCACCTTGGGTTGTAATTTATTATTTATTTAATTAAGTATTTTATGTTGTTTCCAATTTATTGAATTTAGTACTTTATTTAAAGTGAGAGTAAATTTATTTAATATGGTAATATATTTATACTATAAGAGAATCTTTATTCAAATGACATAAACACACCAAATAAAAAACTCACGAAATGAACACCAAATAAAACGTACCAAATAAAATTACATAAACACACCAAATAATAAAAACCTCACTAAAATAAAACACACCAAATAAAATTACATAAACACACCAAATAATAAAAACCTCACTAAATCAACTAAAATAAAACACACCAAATAAAATTACATAAACATACCAAATAAAAAAAACCTCACTAAATGAACTTAATTATCTTCAGCTTGTTTCAATGCCCACTGGTGCTCTATCAAGTCATTTTGCCTGGTATTGTGCGTGTCTGGCCTTTGAAATGCAGTATATCATTGAATGACCCTTTCATTGTAACGTCTGTCCCTTTCTAATGGCTCATGTTGCACGGGCTCATCGGTGGCGTCATGAGCACAATATATACGTGTTCTTGAATTGTTCATCGTGTCTGGCTCATATTCATTAATGGCTTCATAATCGTACTCATCTTCCACAATCATGTTATGAATAATGATGCACGTCATCATGATGGATCGAAACGACTTTACATTAAACAATCTGGCAGCACCCCTGACGATCGCCCAACGAGCTTGAAGAATACCGAAACAACGCTCCACATCTTTCCTGCACCCCTTTTGACACCTTACAAAGTGTTTTTCCTTTGCACTTCGCGGACGTGGCACTGTTTTGACAAATGTTGACCACCTTACGTAAATGCCATCAGCTAAGTAGTATGGCCCGTCGTACATACGTCCGTTGACCTCATACGTGAGTTTTGGTGCCTTTCCTTGCAGGACATCATTGAACACTGGGGATTGGGCAAAGACGTTGAGGTCATTTTGAGCTCCCAGAACCCCGAAGAAGGCGTGCCAAATCCATGTATCAAAGGATGCCACCGCCTTCAAAATGATACTTTTTGCTCATTTTCTGTCTCCATAAGCGCCTTGCCATGCACTTGGACAATTTTTCCACGTCCAATGCATATAATCAATGCTCCCAATCATCCCAGGAAAACCTCGCATCTCGGCCTTCTTCAGAAGCCTTTCCAAGTCCATGTGAGTAGGTTTCCGGAGGTACTCTGCGGTGTAGATAGATTCGATTGCTCCACAAAACCTCATCAGGGACTCAAGAATGGTTGATTTCTCCATCCTCGCTATCTCATCCACTTGGTCTGCAGATGCTCCATACGCAAGCATCTGCAGCGCAGCAGTAATTTTTTGCTCAGGAATGAGACCCATAGCACCACAAGCATCTTTCTTTTGCTGAAAGTAAGAATCATGGTTGCAAACAACAATCATGATTTTGTTGAACAAATGTCATTCCATTCTAAAACGACGTCTGAAGTACGTATCAGGAAATACACTATTATGGACAAAATAATCGTCCAACAGCTCATCACCTCGTAGTTGCCTGCTTCTATCAAGGTTTCTGGAACGGGTGGGCTTGCATATCTGACCCACAGCTTGGATGACTCGACGGGAATGTGAGTCTCTGGCCATTCTTGCTTCATCATCTCTCCTTCTCCGCTCTTCATCCTCTTCCTTCTCATTTTGGGCTATATGGAGATTGAACATTCCTTCAGATTGGTTAAACAATTCTTCCTCTTCTTGATCGATTTCCCACATCATGCTTGAAGAAGAAGACATTGTAAGTAGAAACTATGAATAATGATACAGATTTTGATTTGGTGAAAAAGGAAGCAGAAACTATGAATAATGATAGAGATATTGAGAAAATTGGTGTGAGATTTAACATGATGGATGATGGATTATATGGAGGATTCTGAAATGATTAGGTTGTAGATAGTGCCACGTGGCATGCCGTTATTCGTTAAAAATCTCATCGAAATCTATCCTAAAAGATTATGAAAAGATAACGACACGTGGCACGACGGCATTGGATAAAAATCTTATCGAAATCCATCACCAATAATTATCTTTTCGGATAATGACACGTGCCGCAACGAGAACGATTTAAAATCTGATCGAAATCTATCCTCAAATATTCTGAAAAGATAATGACACGTGGCACGATGATACTGGATAAAAATCTTATCGAAATCTATGACCAATAATAGTCGTTTTGGGTAAATGACACGTGGCGCAACGAGAACGATTTAAAATATCTTATCCGAAATTACAAATAAATTTATTTAGTATTATTTTGTAAAAAAAAAAATTAATAATATTTTATTGCCTATTGCCAGGGCTATTCAAGTGCAAGGGTGGAGATGCAAAAGACAGGTACTGTTCATTAAGGCAGTTACTGGTCACAGGGTGGATTGAATAGTGAATTGCCTGGAGGGAGGGCTCCAAGGGTGGAGTTGCTCTAATACATATTTCAATTGTTGTAGTACCTTCATTAATATTTAAAAAATGACATTATTTGCCTTCCACACACATTTTATTCCTTAGAAAATAAAGTGACTGTTACAACCTACTACTACAAACACTAACCTTTCACTATCAACGTCGTTTGCCACCACCACAACCATAATCGCAACCGCATCATTGCTTTTCTTACTCACAACACTTTTAAAATACAATTAACTAAACGATCATCTGCTTTATTTTATAGATAATTATTCTTAGAGTACATCATAAACAGTATTTTAAAAAAAAGCACAACAATTTGGTAATTACATAGATTCTTAAGTAGACCCATTCATTTTTTAGTGCACAGCAATGTGGGGTTGAAGAAAATAAAAGTGGGTTCAATTTGTATGTGATCTAAGTTCTTCTTTTAGTGCACAAATGGTAATTGCAGAGATTCTCAAGTAGAACCATTTTTTTTTAACTAGTAATTTATTTGGCGTTTCTATAACATTAAGTTGATAATAAACAGCGTAGGGTAGCATATACCATAGCGGTTTGAGAATAAGACCGCAATCTACCTTAAGGGTATTGTAACTCAGTTGATTATGAATATTCACTCGAGTTCGACTCCGCCTCAGTTCCACGAGGAAGTGAACCTTCTTATAGCACAGAGTTCAGCAGACAGATTCTTAAACAACTTGGTGAAGTAACTCAAGCAAAGGGCTGGCTGGTTACATGAGTTGATTATATTTGATTAATTTCAATTTATGCATGGATTAACTTAATTAATTTAGTCTTTCTTCTTCCTTGAGAATCTGTTTAACTTATTTTCCTCCCTTTTCATCAGTTTCCAAAGGACTAAGTGGAAAACCAGCTGCTGACCAATCAGTTAACCGTCGAAGGTTACAAAAAAATTATAAAAATAAAATAAAATAAAAAATAAAAAAAACAGATGAGAAAATATGGTTCATAAATTCATATGATAAAAGAAGCAAATCCAGTTGTTCAGAATAACATGAGAATCCAACGATAAAAAAGCACACAACCAAAACAGCATACAATAGAGTTCAATTCATCCGCTTAGAGAGACTATTAATTATTGTTGAAAGAAACTAGTTAGAAGGGCAGGCAGAATTCAGAAACTCGACATCCTCAACGAAGATCTGCAAATTCTTCGACTTCATCAAGAAATCAACATCTTCCTCATTGAATTCTAGCACGAATGCCAACCTGATCAGCTCCGAAAGTGCAGGTATAAGTTCAGTGAACTCCCACAGAACACACTCAGATATTGCTTCGGCGAAATATGTAGCAAACTCAACGGTCTTCTTCTGCCGGCCAGATTTGTCCATCTGGATGAAGCATTTGGAATTCTTCCTGTCCCACCGTATCTTTCGTGTGCCTCTCACATTCAAAACTTCACCAGAAGATAGTGGCAGATCATAGCGTACAGCGATTGGTTCTGGTGTCTCCAATACAGCAACGTCTACAAGACCTCGGACAGCTTTCCGCCTCTTCTCCACTTCCATTTCAATGGGAGGACCAGCAAGAAATCCAAGAATCAGCCTCAGCAGTGCTTTTCCGAACAATCTTTCCCTTGGGATTATTTGTAATTCAGCATCATTTGCAAGAGATACTTCTTCCTTCTGCACAGATTCTGAAATAGTGCGAACACCAATTTTGTTGTACATTTCAAGCAGCTTAGTTCGAGGCAAGGAGGCCAAGCCTGGCTGAGGGTACCAAACAAATATTGACTGTGATGACTGTTCAAAAAGACACTGCAGCTGAAGGTCATCAGCAATGAAAACGTACTCCTTGTTGCACAACAAGATTTTACCTGAGCGAGAATAAACCGGTACCTTCACCACGGCATCAGCAAGACTTTTCTCCGTTTTTAAATTCCAGTGCTTCGAAACATAAAGCCAGAACATGCAGCATTGATCATGCAACAATTCGCTTTCAGAACTTTCCCAAACTTTCCAGAGATTCAAGTAATCATCAACAGAAGGATGGGATCTTATTCCAAAAGCAGAAGAGAAGAAACCAAACAACTTTTGATCATAGTGTTTCTCCAAAACAGTTAACTGCGAACCAAACAAACCATCCTTGTCATGCATAACACATTCATCTGCACTAACCCACTCACCATTTTTATTTTCTTTCGGAACCCAGATCCTTTGGGGAGCCTCTCCATCCGTCAGTGGAACCCACTTAGACTCACTCAAGTAACTATATACTCGAACAAATGTCGAAAACTCATCCTGTAGATCAAGGTGCCTAGCAATCAAGGCACATCCCTTTTTCACTTCGACAATCACTCCAATTGCAGCGAGCTCCTTTCTGTAGGTTGTAATTTTAGAGCCATAAAATTCTTCATCGATGAAAGGCCCATCATTATGCTTTAAATGTGTTTCCGAATCAAACAACAAGCACTGGTTAGGAGACCGGTAACCAGCATGAGTCTTCAACCATGCTTGAGAAAGTTTTCCCCTGAAAGCCTCCGGAAGGGAGTAGGCTTTCTCCTGCAATAAGATCTGTATACATTCAAGCAATGCTAATGCATTTTCTCGAGAAATGCAGGTCGGATCCTGGGGAAGATACAGACAAGATTCCACAAACTTGACTCCGTCCTTGAATTCCACAACCACCCCCAAGCTCTTCAGTTCGTTCTTAAATGCATGAATGTTCTTTCCATAATGATTTTCAGAATCATCAATGAATGAGAAGACATATGGAAGAGATGGAATCCCACTCGGGACCAGAGAGAATGCACTGTTTGGGAGATCTATAATCACCAAGGCGAGTACGCAGCCACTTCACCTCGCGAATGCAGCTCTTAAGATCTGCAGGAAATTTAAATGGAGTTACATTCAGTGTTCTGTAACACAAGAGAATTGATGCAACGTTTTCTTTTGAAATGGAAGTCGAAGATGCATGCTGCTTGAAATAACGGGCAAATACTTTTGCTGCATCCTCAAAATCAACCACCACCCCAGTTTTCTTCAACTCATTTCTGAAGGAAAATATTCTGTCTCCATAGAAATCGTGATCAATCAATGGGAGATCACTGAAGACCTGAAGAATGCAGCCCCAATCCTTGTCAAACAGGAGGCATTCCTCTGGACGTTTGTAACCAGCTTTTGTCTTTAGGCAATTCGATCCTTTCAAAGCACTGACAAGTTTTTCAGATGAGCTCGAAAGACACATGCATTTAAGCATCAATAGAAGAACCTCAGGTGTCCAGGAAGTCAAGCAAGAATGTGACTTCAGGTTGTCAATTATCAGTTGGTAGCATTTGCTGAATGAGACCGCCACCCCAAGCAACTCAAGTTCTGTTTTGAACTGACAGATTTCTTCTTTACCATAGAATGCCTCATCTATGAAGGGAATGTCACTAATTTGCGAAGCAACTGTCCACTCATCATCCGACAGGACAGATCCAACCGGAGACCTGAAGCCAAGGGAAGTTTTAAGCCACTGACCATCTTTAATACTGCTGATAAAATCGTCTGGTGGAAGAAGTTTCTCTCTCAAAAATCTGATGAAACGTAGTACAGAAAATACATTGCCACGGGTTAAAGAGGAAGCAGCAGCAAGAGACATGAGATGCTTCCCCATATATTCACACGCTTCTCCAAACTCAAACCTGACTCCAATTTTTTTCAGCTCCTCCTTGTAATCGTTAATCTTTCCATCATAATGACTTTGATCAATCAACGGTATATCAACAAAAACAGAGCTATTCTGCAAAAGGTTTCCCGATGATGACTTGAGAAGAAATGACTGCGATGGTGGCCTGAAACCAGGAGAACCATTCAAAGTAACTTTCAGCCAGCTACCTTCTTTCACACACATCAAGAACTTCTGAGGGATGCTAGCTTCACGCATGAGCTGGCGAATCCAGTCCAAAAGCAAGAATACATTTTGCTTATTGAGTGGTGCAGATAAAGATGATATACCATCGCTGGGAGCACAAACATTTGGGATATCTGAGGCTTTAGCATGATCTTTCAGAAACCCAAGGAGCTCCTTCTGTTGTGTAAAGCTACCAGCAAAATGACCGGAATCCAAATAGTCTTCGTTCAACTCAACATAGCCTTCTCTTCTCCACAGATTAGAGTCGGTCAGTCCTGCCCATTTGCTTCCTTTAGCTGGAACAAGAACTCCCTTCCTAGTGCTGGTGATGTTGCCATACTTATCCACCAATGGCATTAGTGCACACAAATTAACAGCTTCCCAAGATAAGATATATCCCTTGCGCAAAGACTGGTGTAAAAAGTGGGCGAATGCAATAGCAACCTTCCGCTCACAAAGTGACTTATCAAAGAGATTGACTGCATAGTCATATATACTTACAGAACCAACCTTGACTTGGTCCAAAAGCCACTTCTTCAACGTCTCCTTCCTAGAACACAATCTGAGAGCTTCCTGTGTGGTCCCTGGCATAAAGAGAACATTGGAAACAGATGCAAACTCCATGTTCCAGTCAATCAGCCATGAAATATGAGAAGAATCACTTGATACGCAAACTTTGCTTTCGCCTTTCTGGATTGCACTTATGCTGCACAGAGATTTGTTTCGATAACCCCCACATTTTATGAGCGGTATATTCTTGATGCTGGTGCTTGAAAATTTAGAACCCCAAAATTCAGAAATAAAAAGTAGAAGCTCCAAATAGACATCTTCTGGCACCCCAGTTATAAGATTAGATGTACCCCGGATGCATGTTGCATACCATTCATTGTTCACAGCTTCAACTCCCAAGAAATTCAGTATCTCGTTATACTCCACATCGTCAAAGGCATATGCCAGAACATATTTTCCATGAGACGACAGATTAACCAAGCTTACCCCTTGCTTCTTCGCTTTCTTCAAAATATTCCAAAAGGCAGGCATTAACCTACCAACCTCACGGGGTTTATAAAAGAACTTCTGCTCCTTGTGAGGCTCACTAGGTACAATGCTTTCTTCAACAAGTTTTGCCTTTATAGACTCCCTGACAACATTCAATCCTTCATAAGGAGAGCTCTGAACGGGCAGAAACTTGAACATACGAGTCAAGGTAGAAACTGGAGCATCTTCTTCAGATCTGACAAGTGAGATAAATGCATTCACAAATACAGTTGGAACGCAATCGAGAATCCCCTTATTCCATTGGCTGTCCAGAAGAATTGTTTCCCTTGATGAGGCAAGAAGAAAATCAGCTTGAATTATAAAGGGAAAGTTTGTCACCATCTCAGTGGGAAGGAATGCATAGACTCCAGGAGATGTGTTTGTTCCTCTACAAAGGCGCTCTCCAATTGGAAATGCAAGTGTGATCACCCATTCATCTACATCATTTCTCTTATCCACTCTGCACTCCCGGCTGACAGGAAACTTCTGCTTCCACATAGAATAGCCGCATTCTGTATCAAATTTGTAGCCATTTTCTTTTGCAGAAAGGTGGAGTGTGTAGGATTCAGCATCTATGTTCTTCCTGGTGACAAAATCAGTCTCGCTTGATATTGCTATCGCACTTACAGTGTTGTGCCTTGGATTCACATTGTCTTCCCTAACCGAGAGTCGCTTAATCTTTGATAAGAACAAGAGAATTTCCGGATGCATGCTAGAGAGTTGTTGCTTAACGGCTTCAACCTTGTCCGCCTTCAAAGGTAAGATCAGTGTTGTGGTTGGAAGGGCAGAACCAGAACCAGAACCATATATCTGTTTTATTTCTGAAAGAGTAGGGTTTGCATCAACCCATTCTGGGACTATGTAGCCAACATTGCAGTGCACACAGGGCTCTTCACTGAACCTTATTTGATATCCGTTACTGAAAATGTAAGGTCGTGCAGTAATGAGAAACACGCTTTTGAACCCAATACCTGTGGATTAACCAGGAATGTAGTTGAATTAGCAAAACGGAAAACTAACAAGACATTCAAACAGAGAACAAAAACTTACTTCAGAACGCATAATAAACATGAGATAGGCATGATACCATTATCAAAGCAGTATTACTATTACATGACTCCAATAACATTGATACTTAGTAGTCATAAAAGGACTGGCATGTAGAATATTGATACTTAGTGGTCATAAAAGGACTGGCATAAAAGGAAATAGGCTTTTTATTCAAAATAGTCCATGAGATTTGCATCATCTATAAGTTTGGTCCCTGAGATTTAAAATCAATAAAAGTAGTCTTGAGATTGTCCACCATCCATGATTTTGGTCGTTCCGTTGAAACTTTTGGCTGGAAGTTTGAGCAATTTTCAAAGTTTCGTAACGCAATCGTTTCTTAACCAAATTCGACCCGTAATATATCAAAATGAAGATAGGAAAGTATAGAATAAGATTATATCATTTGGAAGCCCAATGGTTGCCGGAGATGGTCAGAAAATAGCCTCAAAATTGACTGGTCCGAGGGAAAACTGGAAAACTCGCCGAAAACTGGGTAAACTTTAAACGTTCATAACTTCTTCAATACTCAACGAAATTAAGTGATTCAAAAACAAAAATCATACTACTCGACGAGAAGAAGAGAATGGTACTTTTTTCAACACTAAATCTCCATGGTTTGGCCGAAAAACGGTTCGAACGTTGCTGACTCGTTTTTCAACGGCTACTTTCGAGCCGTTTTTCGGCCAAACCACGGAGCGTTAGCCATTGAAAAAGGTATCATTCTATTCTTCTCGTTGAGAAGTATGATTTTTATTTTTGAATCACTTGATTTCATTGAGTATTGAAGAAGTTATGAATGTTTAAAGTTTACCCAGTTTTCGGCGAGTTTTCGGCAACTTTTCCAGTTTTTCCTCGGACCAGTCAACTTTGAGGCTATTTTCTGACCATCGCCGGCAATCATTGGGCTTCCTAATGGATATAATCTTTTTCTACACTTTCCTATCTTCATTTTGATATATTATGGGTCGAATTTGGTTGAAAATCAATTGAGTTACGAAGCTTTGAAAATTGCCCAAACTTCCGGTCAAAAGCTTCAGCAGAAATGACCAAAATCATGGATGGTGGACAATCTCAGGGACTACTCCTATTGATTTTAAATGTCAAGGACCAAACTTATGGATGATGCAAATCTCAGGAACCATTTTGAATAAAAAGCCAAGGAAATATTGATACTTAGTACATAATTCTTTGAAACAAATGACATTTCAAGATGGAAATATTGATACTTAGTAGTCATAAAAGGACTGGCATGCAGAATATATAGAAGCATCTCGTGTATATATACACATACCTTTCTCCCCAATGTAGCCGCGCTTCCTGTTGCCTTTCTTGGTGGAACGCCCAACACTGCAAATGGACTCGATGTTCTTTGGTGAAAACCCCTTCTCATTGTTGAAAACAATTAAAGTAGCAGGAGCCCCCGCGGCTGTTATATCCCGGGAAGTTATGACAAACTCAAGTGATGGATCAACCCCCTCTGGGTAATCATTATCTTCTGCATTCTGCAAAATAAGTAGTACATTGTGAACCATTGATTCATATATTCAAATAGCTACCGTCTAAGGTAAATACATAAACACGCATTAAAACACACAAGCACGCACATATCTATATATATTAAAAAAAAAAAAAAAAAAAAAAAACCTGGATGAGTTCCATGAGGAAGTGAACATCCTTAGCGTAGAGTTCAGCAGAGAGATTCTTAACAGCCTGGTGAAGATCCTCGGTCAAAGGGTTTGCCTCTTCCCTTCCAATGGAGAACTTTGTCTTCCTTATCTCTTCCACGTGCGCTTTCGGAGTAGCCATTGACGTATCAATTGCCTCTTTTAGTTAAGCTTCAGTACTTCACAGACAATCAGAAGTTGTGACTTGAGAGAAATTGAGAATGATCAATGAGTTGTTTATATATGAGAACGAGAGAAAGTAGAAGTTAATGATATTGATAAACTTCATTGAATGCATGGATTAGCTTAATTAATTTTGTCTTTTCAACTTCCCATTAGAATCTGGGACGTTTTGTCTCCTTTTTTCAGTTTCCAAGGGGCACACAAATCAAAAATAGTTGTCACAAAACAGAAAACATTCTTTCAAAATTTCAATGACCACTTTTGAGGAGAGAAATTCGAACTTTGTCATAGGACAAGAGGGCGCCTAACCTTATTCTGAACTACTCTAATTTATACGTCCACAAAACATACTCTAATTTACAAAATGGAGTTTAAACTCGGGTGCGAAGGGGCATGCAAGCTACCCAGTCCAACTAGCCTAACCCGCATCTGCACCTTCCTTATTCCTTGAATCAAAGAAAGAAACTGAAATCATCACGAGGATCCGGACGCATTTGGATAGATTTCGTAGAGATTTTCGTATCCAAGAGAAAGAAAGATTTGGGTGCAACGCTATAGTTTGTCCACACCATGGAAGAAAATATCGATAATACCGGCGAAATATCGCCGATATTATCGGTTTTTCAGGTAATGGATATTTAAATAGGTATCCAAATGGTTTTCGGAAAAATATCGCGATATTATCGATATTTCCAAAAATATCGCGATATTTTTGAAATATCGCGATATTTTTTTAACTATGCTACTCGGAGAAGAACGCCGGAGCTTCTACAGCTCCGGCCGACCACAAACAAGGGTTCTAGACACCGATCTAGGTATCAAACAAAAGCACGAGACGAGAGGAGTGCGTTTATACCTTCCATTTGCCGTGAAACGACCCGTGGTGGTCGGAAAACCTCTCGACACCCACGGTCTCGCCGGAGATGGGTGCGCCTATTCCCGGGCTGATTCCGTGCTAAATCCTTGGTAAAAAGGACAGAATAACCTCAATAATCACATCCAAGCAACAAACCAACACGGAAAGAGAGGTTCGAGGCTTACCTAACCATAACCCATGAAGAACTCGCCGGAGGTTCTTGGGGTTTCGTCGAGTTGCGCAGCGACGGGAGAGAGAGAAAGAGAGAGAGAGACGACGGCGTGTAGAAGGTGATGACGATGCCGTCGACGGAGTACCACGAAGGGTGTGCGTGGGTGCTCTCGGGTGTGGGTCAAAGGGTGAAAGAGAGAGGGTCTTCGAGAGAGGGAGAGTGAGTGCAGAGAAGAAAGAAGGAGAAAGAGGTCACGGGGTGGGGAGAGAGAGAGATACGTGAGGGTGCTAGGGTGCTGCCATGTGGTAGCTTGAGAGAATTTGGAAATCAAGATGAATGGTCCAGATTTGGTTAAGATAGGGGACTAAAACGATAATTTCATAATTATTTGGGGAACCACGAAAATATATAAAAATTTGGGGTTGGGTTGTTACAGTGTGTCTGTGCGTGTGTGTGTGTAGAAGTGGGGTGCACTTTGAAGTGTGTGTGTGTAGAAGTGGGGTGTGTGTGTGTGTTATCCGAGAGAAGAAAAAAAAAATCCAAACCTGCTTTCAAAATATCCAGGCTATGTGTCAGTCTGTGTGTGTTATCTGAGAGAAAAAAAAATGCAATATATAAAGTGTAAAATATTGTACTAATTCATTATATATAATGATTGTGATGTCTTTAAACTTTTTTCATTAATTACTACATATTTTTTACACTCACAATGTTTGCCAGCTCGCTATATAATCAATTTAAATCAGTTAAATCCATCATGCAATGCATTTCCTTCCAATTTTTTTGTGATAAACTAATAGATAATTGACTAAATAAACATATTGCAAAGTTTCAATTAAAATTTCCAAGTTTTTCTTACAATTTCCGTGGTTTCCATGTAATTTTTATCGATATCGATATTTTACCGATATTTCCGTGTTTTCGGACTACCGATATTTCCGATATTATCGATATTTTCTTCCATGGTCCACACTAAAGAAGCTATCAAGTTAACAAAAGAATATTTTTGAATACCTTGAACAGATCGGGTGGCAAGTTAACAAAAGAAGCTATCAACGATCAACTGTCCACAAGCATAAGAGAATCACATTAACTAATACAGATTAAAGTTCACAGCATTTATATACTGACGGATTATCGGAAAATTACACTAATTATTTACATTGAAACCACACATTATATTAGTAAGACAGTACTTAAATTAAGGACACAAACTAGACCTTAAACAACAGCAAAACTACATATTAATAAAATATTGTTTGTCAATAAAAAACAAATATAATTACTACTCTACCTTTTTAATGCAATACTAAATGAAGATATTAGAAAAGAAAATAGGTGTGAGCATTAAAGTAATTTTGTACAAACAAATTTTTACTACTATTTTTCTAAAGCTCACAGCTATGTCACCTTATTACTACCCTCTCAACTCATTCACTTTCTTTCTCTTTCTCTCTCCTTCCTAACGGCCAACTCCTATTTTATTGGAATGTCTATCAATCTGTTAAAAACAAATAACTTCTCTCATTAAAATATTAAAATACAAATATTTAAAATATACATTTCTCAACACACAGTGTGTGTGACCCTTGCTAGTATATATTAAGAAAAAGATGCCTTTAAAGGAAGAAATATCCATTTTTATAAAATAAATAAATGGAAATATGCCACACACACCACATTGAGCTTTAACGATCCAAATTAGCTAATTTTCAAGTTGCATCTCATAGATCATCTTTACAAAATATTAGCCCAATTGAAAATATTTAAGACAACTAATTGAGTTCAAAGAACTTAACGAACATTTTATTCTCTAAGAAACATTAAAATTTCATGATGATAGTTAAATAAGCAAATGGTTTCGGATTGAATTGAGTTGAATTTTTACAAGGATGATCTACGAATCAAGACTTACAAAATAGACAGCTTAAATCGTTGAAGTCTAATGTGAAGTCAATCCCACAATTAATTTCTATTTTTCGAAAAAAATGGATATTTTCTCTTAAAATGCCTGATTAAGAAAAATACTTCTATAAGATGTGAATAATTAGTTTGTCAAGAAAACGCACATTAATTATTTAATATTAATAATAGTTCTCTTATTTTTCTTTATCTCTATTAATTAATGAAACTCATTTTGTCAACCAAAAGAGAGTGAAAAGACAACTTAATCTTCTATCACACAAAAAAATGATGGGCAATAATGTAATTTCACAGGTCTAAATTTTACTGTTTTTTATTGAAGCATCACCTACAGGTGATGTTAAAATATCTCTAATATTTAAAATTTAAAAAAAATCAAAAAACAAAAATCTCTCACTCCCCCCCCCACGTTCTCTCTCTCTCTCTCTCTCCTTCCCTCCCTCTCTCCTTCTCATTTTCTAAAAAAAATGTGTTCATACACACAAATTGTGTAGGCAAATGCTAGTTTATTTATATATGAAGATGCAATTTTTTACTTTTTTTTTTTGTGAAAATGAGAATATCAGAATATCTAATTTACTAAAATAGATAAATGAAACCTTCTTGAGGAAGTTCAATAATTCAATGCAAACAGAGGAAAGGTAAAACCGCTCGGTGAAGGAAAGCAAAGGAAAAGCGAACTTTGGAAAAGAAAAAAAAACATTATTGAAATTGTGAGTTGCTTTCGAATCTAAGCCACATGTCATTATAACGAAGAACGGAAGGACTACAACTTATATACAACGATTCCATAATTATATGATGTTCCAATCTATTAATATTGTTACAAGTAAGTTTTACGTAGTATTGTATTTCTTAGAATGAAACGTGTGATAGTAAACTCGTTCTATATAAATTACTCTTGAATTAAAGAGTTTTGTTGTACAATAACAATTGACGTTGAACGAATAACTCTTTGTATATGAGAGTGGTCCTTCGTGTAAGAGCTCTTCTTCTTGCAAGTGTATAGAGAGCGTCAAATTTTTTTTTTAGTACATTGATATTTTTACACTAAGAGGAGAGGAAGTTCGACTAAGTCACACAATGGGCAACCTAATTTAGAGCACGTCAATTTAAACTCTTAATAAGGTTTAATGTTTATAGATGTCAAATACAATACAATAATAAATGGGGCGTGCTATCCACACACCCCTTTTTACTTCTCACACACCCCTTATTAATTCATGTTCGTTGATCTTCTTCAATTCATTCGATCCGACAGCCAAAAACAAAAAAGGTATGAGAAAAGTAAAAAGGGGTGTGTAGATATCACATCCCTAATAAATAAGGAAAACTAACGAAAAATCCAAAACAACTTCCCTTTTAATGAAAAGTTCTTTTTAAAAGTATAGTGAATAGTGACAGTTAAAAGTAAAAATGTGATTTTTCGTTAAAAATGTACCGTACCGGAAATATTTTGTTAAAACTTCCTAATAAATATACATGAGGATCTTTAATTTGTTGGGCTCAAGATAATTAATGATCTTTTGTTAGCTGACACTGGTTCAAACATGAAAGAAAAAGAGGGGGCAAAGAAAAAGAAAAAGCAAAAAAGAGAATCCTTGTCCCCTTTATTCTAATTTGTTGTCGTATCTATAATTTTAATTTATGAGTATGCATGAGCTTTGTACGAAAAGCAAAGACTTTGCATTATTTCAATTGCTTATTAAATTGTGTTTCTTTTTCTTTTGAATTTTTTGTGAAATAAGAAAGTGAAAGGAAACGTGTAGTGGTGGGAATTGTATCCGAAAAGTAAGACTGATCGCATCACCTAGGACGCTGATTCGACCACTCAGTCACCACTCTCCTGAGTCTTAATCTTTTGAGGAATCTAAACACATTTCCACAACTTTTGTTTTGTTAAAGGACAATAATGAAAGACTCACTGTATCTTATGGTCTAGTTGAAGACTTGTAGCTTTCTTCGTTTATTCAGAAAGGTTTCAAGTTGGGTAAAATTCTTGTTAATCGTGTCAAGTTAACTATAAAACAAATTTAGTTTAAATTATAATTTCGTTTTAGGCTATCTAAGCTTGAATCCGAATAAAGTATACATGCATATCAGGTTTGCGTCAAAACACAACCCAACCATGCACAATAACCTTGGTTACCATGGTGGCATACGTATTTTGCGCGGTTGCTCGAATGGTATCAAACATGCAGCAATAATGTTAGAGTCGCTCATACGCATGTAAAATTTAGTAGAATTGTATCAATTTGATGACATATGACATGATGACAATGATAAAAATGAAAATGGAAATTCAATTAGGATCAGAGACGGATCCGGCTAACCCCAAACTCAGAAATTTTCCATCAAAGAACTGGGTGCTACCTATTAAAATTTTGAGATTGCCCTTAAAAATTGTCCTTTAACTGTTCGACGAACTACGAGTACTGGACATGGTAGCGGCTAGCCTCATGCCTATGTATGTTTTTCTATAGGCATCTTTCAATAGGATCACATCAACACGCTCCTATTGGCATGTGTCGACAAACTTGTAATATGACTTAGCAAATCATCTTAGGCCTACTAAGATTTGATAAAATGCCAATTTTCATGCTATACGATCTAAAAAAAATTCATACATTGTATGCTCTATTCTTATTAACTTCACATTTAATATTTTCTAGATCTGTCATTGATTAGCATGGTGTTACTAATTAGTGCGAGAAAACCAAAAGGCAGGAGATTGATGGTAATTACCAATCCTCATCCTCTTGACTTTTATCAGGCAGAAGAGACTTCATCAAGCAGATATTTTATTTACAGTCTAATTTAGACAAATGAACCTTCTTGAGGAAGATCAATGATTCGATGCAAACAGAGGAAAGGTAAAACCCCTCAATGAAGGAAAGAAAAAGTTAACATTAACAACAAAAACCAAAAAGCAAAACAAAACAAAATATTATTGAAACTAAGAACGGAAAGAAGGCAGCTTATTTTATCATCACGTGGAGGCCGGTCCACTGGCTCCACATAATATTGCATTATTAGACACTCATTTTTAACATAAACATATTATAATTTTTGCATTGAGATTGAGACAGAAAACCAAATGATGGTGTTAATCACACACTCATTTTTACCTCTCACACACGCCTCTCAAAGTCCAACCATCAGATCGAACAAATTGAAGAAGATGAGTAAATAAAAATTAACAAGAGCATGTGTAAAAGATTATAAAAAAAATGGGTGAATAGCACTATCTAAATAAAAAAAACCTCAAACCGGCCACTTGTTTTAATTTAAGTACAAAAATTATCTATTCTAAAATCGAGGAGTCGATTGGCTGTAGCTTAGCTACAGTGAACTGTTTACCCCTTGATTTCACCTTATTTACAAGAAACCCATCAAATTTGGGCTGGTATTCAGACTGAGTTGTTTTGGGCCGCTCATGATGTTGTCCCTGGGATTTCTCATTTGTTGGTGTAAGACCTGCCCTTTGGTA